CAAGACTACCAGTAAATCAGTGTAATGAGATGTATTCACCCTATTTCGTGTAAGGTGATGAAGGACTGATCGCAGAATTTTCTTACAATGATATAGAGCTGACGTTTCCATTGAATTTCACATAGCCTTGCTTTCCCAAAAGTTGTTCTCATCCAGGTTGGACTGAAGTTTCAACTTTTGGGAAATTAAGGCTATGTGCAATTTAATGGAAACGTCAGTTCAACTTATATCATTGTGGGAAAATTCTACTACCAGTCCTTCATTACCTTAAAAGGCTTTATTCCAAAAATATCATTCAAGCTTATATCGAGCGGAATCGCTAGAGACATTTCTCATTGTTTTAGGGCACAGGTAGGACAGAAGTTTGGCAAGGAATGTTGCCTCATCTTGCATCGAAAAAGGAATTTCACAGCCTCCCGGGGAGTGATTATAATTTAGATTGCTTGTTTCAAGAAGTAAACACGTTGCTAACACTTTTTGAGGCGTCGAACACCACGTCTTCCACCAAACTACAGACCATTTCATCTCATCCTCCTTTCTCCCATACAATGCAAGACAATAGTTTTGGTAAAGGGTCTATAAAATTAAAATTTTTGCTTAGGAAGGGCTATAAACTCTATCCTTTCTATCCTTCTCCTCCATGTCCAGATGACAGGCCGGTGAGTGAGGCGCGAACTTCAACATTCCAGACAGCGCTTCCTCGATCTCAGTCCATTCCAAGCTGACAGTCAACCTCCTCGTCTCCGATTGGCGAACTTTACTTTTCTCTGTCAACGGGCACCTTGCGCCGAATCCAATTTCCCCACCTTGCTTTCCCTCATCCTCTTTTTCCTCTCCTCCGACTGCATTGTATAGATCGTACTTCATATATTACTTGTATGCACACAATATATATTTTCATAGTGCTGTATTATGAGATCTGAAAGCAAGAAATCCACAAGTTCCAATTTCTTCTATCTTGTCCTTTTTTTCCTGCTGATACGCCAGCCATAATTTTGTGTCTATATGAGGCATTCGGACGATTACATACAACTTTACTGTTTTGTGGCAAACCAGACAGATCCAGCCCAAATAGCCGTGAATGATTACTGTTTCCTTGATCAAATAAATTTTTATCATCCTGAAGTTGTTACTTCTTTTCAACCTCTTTGGAAGGAGAATAAAGCGACTGTCCAGTCTCAGTTGGGCTAGCCGAAACACATCTTGTTGTGCAGCTTTTTGAGTCCTGATAACAGCGAAGGCTATGAAGGAACTTAGACCCATCTTGTGACATTTGCACAACAAAAAACCCCTTCCATGCTCACTGAGATGACAATTTTATCGAGACGAACGACGAAACTTGCGGGTTTTATACACAGCTTCCGAAACAATAGGAATGCGTAGGCGTGTCAAATAATTAAAAAATTGGGATGGATAGCTGACCCAGCCAAAATTACTTAAAGTAAGGGCTCACACATGTCAATCATTTCGAGATGGAGATCAAGCCATACCTCAATGCGGTAATTGTTTGAAGGAGGTCGAAAAACAGGATTTATGATATGTATTTCGAAAATGGACTCAAAACTAAATTAAAGAATAGTCCTTATAGCCTTGTTTTATAAGTACAAATCCTCCTAATAAAGCTCTTCACAAGCAACCTGGTGTGCTCATATGCTAACGTAAAGGTAAAGTTATAGGATGATAGTAATATAGAATTTCGTTAATCTGAAGTTAATTATCCCCTGTTTAAAGCAGGGACGTGAGGCAAAGTGCAGTAGAAACAAATAAGGTTTATGCTAGCCTTGCTGATATTGATAGGAGTATTTATTTTAATAATAATCATATTCCGTATTAATAAACGATGGGCAACATTTTTGCTCAGTAGATAAAAAGGTAATACGATAAACACTTATCAGACCTAACTTCTCTACATAACCACTTTGACAATAGCCAAGTTGCTAGCTTCTGCAAGTACCATTGACAATAAAGTCAAATAGGGAGCAAAAATTATATTTGTCAAAAAATGAAGGCTTAAAAGAGTCTGTTTTAATTAATTCACCCATTTAATGTATAAAAAAACACAATATTGAAAAGCCGGATTAATCAGAATAACTTAGTAAATATCACCAATTCTGAAACGCTCTGAGCAAGGAGACTGCATATACGGAAATAAAATATTGTTTAAAAATCAATTAATTGTACACAATAACTTAAACAGTGCACATACGATTAGAAAGCAGACGAAATTAACCCTTTAAAATGAGTAAGAAATAACCCGTAAAAACACCAATAAAACTAATATAGACAAATACCCACGAACATTAACAAAGTATCCAATAATTAAATACTTTCTAAACATTCTCTTCTTGCATAGATTTGATGGTTCTAGAAAAATCGATGAAGATATAAAGCAAAAGAATTAAAAAATATATTAATAAAATCTGTTTCGATTTCTTGCTAAGCATAAATCAGTAGGTTAATTATCTTTTCTTCAATCGATTTTTCAATTATGCCCAATTTTTGCCGATTTCTGGCTGGACCATGCTCGGAAGGCGAAAGTGGAGAGAAAATTGCATGAGCAATCTCTCTTATTTTACAGAGTCGGACCGTGGACTTGGTACAGTCCAAGACGTTACACAGGCATCGTAGTTGGCATCGACGATGAGCCTTGGCATTGCTAGCACCACACTAAAACTCGTTAAAGAGACAACTGAAGTTGATCCTTTGACCAATTGTCTGCTAGGCAAGGTACGTTCATCTCGATCTTCCTTGTCTCTTTGACGAGTTACAGTATTGTTCTAAGAATGTCAAGGCCCACTGACGACGCCGACTACGATGCCGGCGAAACGTCTGGGAATGTACCAAGTCCACGGTTTGATTCTGGAAATGATTATGCATACTATGGACTCCGGACAAGGTGCGTTCCTCTACGTCTTCCTGCTAATGCTACCAAGCAATTACTATACAACGAAAGTAGACCACGACCATTGTAAAGGCCACACCATCTTGGCCTTCATACTTTCAATTAAACTCTCTTAAGTTATACAAAAACATTGGTAAATTTAGGCTACTTTCGCTGCTAGGACGCCGAACATTTGAAGAGCTTGCTGCTTCTGTACACCCTTCTTTGTGATCATGATTTAAATTAGAAAAGAAATTAAGCAGAAAACCATATTTGTGGGTTTCATACACACATCGCTACCAAATTTGTTGACCAATTTTCTAATCATGACATACAAGGGTGATTTACCGTCCTTTTATGACTTCACTGAAAATTCGGTGTATCTATATATTCTATCGTTTAAAGCTCTTTGTCATTCTGCAAAAATCTAAGTAGTATTATATATTTTTTATGTTTATTTCAATTTGTACTTATATTTATACATTACTTGGAGCTTATGGAAGAGTGAGTTTAATTATGGCATATGAAGAACAAATGTTCAGCTTATTTTTTACCAGAACTAAAAGAGGAGGCTGCCTAAAAGTTGTAGTAAAGTCAAAAGACTGCAGGAAAACTGAAATCAACTGTCTTCTTCTGGTTAATCGGTCTATGAATATCTTCAATAGACACTTTTATAGAAAATAAAAATCATCACAAACATTAAAAATAATTATCATGTTATTCAGCCTGGTCTGCTATTGGTCATATATACACGCACATATATTAAAGCATAATCCATCCATGCTGGAGGAAGTTGCTTAGGTAATCCTTTGGGTTGAGCCCTTCTTTTGTGCTCGGTCGAATACACAAAAGCGTAACAGACGTCCACGGCACAGCCAAAGTAAGAAAATAAATCTGTACAAACACACTGTAATCGTCCTATAACAATTATAAAGTTTTGAGAATTTTCTTTTTGTGCTGGTAGCAATATGCGTTTTACCTAATGCTTTTGAGGTTTTATTTGGCAGGACTAATGAGGTTACAATTTTGCGTAACACAAGCCAACTAAAAGTTTTATTATGCAAATAGAATAGAATTAAAGAGTTTATATCATGTTTCTGTCAGTTGTGAGTTCCTCAGACAGGCGGGCTTCTCAGAGATCGCCCATCAAGAGGTATTTCCTACAAGTTTCATGAGCAAAATGTATTGAATCGCAAAAACACTGCATAATTGGATTTATTAACGATTTCGGAAAGTGCACCAAGAATAAATTTAGCCGCTCACTGACAAATACGTGGAAGTTTAGCTGCAGAGGCGGTCTGATATCTTAACAAAATTTCATTACTCTAAGATGTGGCTTAGGAGAAGTTATGTAAAAGTATCTGTAAAATTTTGCATAGCTAAATATATTTGTTTATATATATTTATATAAGTAAGTGCATAAATAGGTAAGCTCCTCTTTGAAAGAAAATTTCTTTTTTCTGCTCACTATGGAAATGGACTCAAAGTGACATCCAGATTTAGCGAAGCATTTGTTTTCTTTCCTGTCCACCTTCATTCCGGTCACACCCTTCTCTTGTTATTCAGCCTAATTTCCATAACTCATTCTCCTGTCTGAAGGCTTATTTTAGGTCAGTGTGAGAAATTTGTGTGGTAGGGCCAGTTGGCTATGACGACAAATGGGGAGGAGGGCGCAGGGAGCCAAGTAAGCAGAAGATGAGAATGGGCTTGGGGCAGATGGAGGGGAACCAAGGAAAACATTCCACTACAGGCATGCAAATACGGTCTGCTTTGCGGTAAAGTGATTCGATTCGACGGCAAGACTGACTGATTGGCCGAGGCAGAAGAGCCGGCCCTCGAATGTCCACATTGTTTAGGCAAAAAAGTGTGCATTTCTTATGCACAGGCCGACCGTGTGTGAAAACACAGGTTGCGGCATGTCTGCTACCTCGTGCTACAACGTCTGGTCTGACCAATCCTAAGACAGGACTGAGGAGCAGCGGTTCGGACAAGCTGTCAGGTTGACAGGGAAAGTGTCAGGAGGTGTTGTGGAAATTGTATTCTTTTCTAAATGCGGAGCTTAGCTGACGAGAAATTATGGAAAGGGAGGAAGGGGCAGTGATGACCCAAGCAAAAACCACGAAATCCAGCCAATCGGAGGTCGTCTTCCAGGAAAATTATGTCAGTCTGAAAGGGAGAACTTCACACAGAGAAATGCAAAACATTTTTGGTTGCAAGTGCACAGAGGCTGATTTAATGCAAGAATTTGTTTGGGCATGAAATGGAGAAAAGGATGACAGTAACCTTCATTCGGTATTCAATTAAAGAAATCATGTGAGCATCTGCTGTCGGTGTTGGGGGATGGCAACAAACAGTTATAGCCTTAGGAGTCAGAAGCTCGGCTTGAGATGTTTCTCTTCATTTTGTCCAGCCTATGTGCATGTGTATTCTTTCAGATACTTGCTTGTAGGGGATGAGATCGAATTGCACAATGCCGAAGAGTAGGGACAAACACGAATGTAGCCCCCACTGAGACGGGCATTTGTAAATGCTATCAACATTTCCTTAAATGTTTTCGCAACCTGGTCATATTGGTAGGAAGACTTAGAGGAACGCACCTAGTCCGGAATGTACCACGTTCACGGTTCAATTTC